ACAATTGAATGTCATAATTTATTTATCAGTTTTTCCATTAGTGGGCATTTAGATGGAAGATCTTGGTTTTTTAATAGTGGAATATAATACATTCATGTTTATTTTGATCACTGATATGTGCGGCCTTATTTCTGTCATCTTTTTTTTTTGGCCATATATTTATCATGAGTTCTTTTTTTTTTCCCTTGGGACTTTTTCTGGATTCATCAAGGTGTCTTTGTCCTCATCCCTTCATTTATATGTAGTGGCTTTGAATTTTGGATCTTACTAGGAGCCCTCATTAAGTTCTTTAGCACAGATAAACTTGTATTTTCCTATAAATGACAAAAATTAATCAGAATCTTTAACCTCTTTCCAAACAAAAGAAACGTTTTAGCATGTTTTTAATTATCTTCTCCCCCGCCTTTCTCCCACAGGCACGTACAGATGGGTGTCTGCCCAGGAATCACTGAAATAATCTGGAGGCTTCCCATTGCTATTAACTCTTCCTGCTTCAAAATACAGTTTTCTTTTTCTATTTTTGAAATGCTTTCTTGACCAATGCATTCATCTATAACCTATTTGTACAATTGCTTATCATGCAGGATAGGAGGGCTTCAACGTGTGTTTCTTTTAACGTTTTCATTGATTTACTGAAAATTTGTAGTGATTTGTGTCTCATAAGTAATGCTTCTCTGGGTCTCTGATTTCTCAAAAGCATACTGTAGAATCCATGCTATTCTGATCCTCATTTGACCTTTGCTGGCACAAAAACATTCTGGAATGTTTGCAAGAGCTAAAGTCATTTCCTCATGTTTTACTGAGTTTCCTTGAGCTTGGTTTAAAAAGACAGTATCAGTCTGTATAGACTTGCCACTAACTGAAGGTTCATGTAATGGTCCCGCCCCAGGGTCAGAGACTGGCTGCAAGAGTATGAGAACTGCTTTGAACATTCAGCTGCTGAATATGTTACACCAAAAAGCTTAACATTTTAACATTTTTGTTTATCGTGCTATTTGAAGGTAAAGTAAAACAGGCACTCTCATAGTAAAATAATGGTGCAGCTAACTTGGTGTTTATCAAAAGTTTTTTAAAGTGTCCATACCTTTTACTCCAACAATCCCGCTTCCAGTAGTGTATCCCAAGACGTGTTTCCCACGTGGGGTTACTTCAGATGGTGCGGCGTGATCCAGGTGGATCCCACCTGCAGCATTGCCGAACCCTGACTCTCACGGTGAGAAGTATTCCCCTTTTCAATCTTCTGATCAAGGGAAGGAAAACAATCTCAGCTGGGTGCTAGAATGTCCGTAATACCGCTCTTCACCTTACTAGTCTCCCTTTTGATATAAAAGAATGAGCAAAGGGCTAACATATCTTTTTTTTTTTTTTTAATATTTTTTTCTTTATTGATATTACAGAGAGGAAAGGAGAGGGAGAGAGATAGAAACACTGATGTGAGAGAACATCGATTAGTCGCCTCCTGCATGCCCCCCACTGGGGATTGGGCCCATAACCTGGGCATGTGCCCTGACTGGGAATCGAACCGGCGACCTCTTGGTGCATGGGTAGATGCTCAACCACTGAGCCACACCAGCCAGGCTAGGGTTAACATAGCTTAACTGTATTTTCACCACAGTGTTTTGTTTTCCAAGGCATTTATTTTGCCTTAATTTATGATAGTAAATTTATTATAGGAAATAAAGTTTGCTTTTAAAATACATTTATTTAAGGGGAAAATGAATTGATTAAAGATAAATGCTAAGTATGGTACAGATAGTATATAATTACGGTAAACTAGTAATGGTGATGTACAGATAACTGAGATGTGTGACACATGACCCCACGGAATACTCAGAGCTTCAGACAGAAATTTTAAATGGGGGATTTCTTATATTTGGGCTGTTCCCCAGTGTGACTTCTGCTACATAATGTTAGAAACCACTCAGTTGTCCAGCAATAAGGAATTGCTTAAGTTATTTTGATACCCTTCTATGATAAAATACTGCCAACTATTAAAAAAGTATATTTCATGACACGGAAGAATTATATACCACTACGTAAAACAACACTGGTTGCAAAAGAAGATATACACAGTGTCCTAACATTTTTTAAAAGAAAGTATAGATATATAGATACGCACATGCATGCACGCATACATGCATGCACACACACACTAAAATTATTGGAAAAAATTGAAAGAAAATATTTCCATATAAGTTATCTCTGGATGGTTGGGACTACAGGAGATTTTTGTGTTTTCCAATAATAAACATATGTCACTTCTGTCACCAGAAAAATAATACATACATACATACACTTTTTAAAAATATGTTGTTATTGATTGATTCTTTAGAGAGAGAGGAAGGGAGTGCTAGAAACATCTATGTGAGAGACATACATTGATCAGCTGCCTCCTGTCCACCCCCTGCTGGGGCTCGAGCTCAAAGCCCTGGCATGTGCCTTGTCTGGGAATCAAACTGGGACCTCAGTCCGTGGGACGACGCTCAATCCACTGAGCAACGCCAGCCAGGCCATACATCCACTAATATCTATGTTGCAACCCTAACTGGACTACCTGGTATTTTGCCATCTGCAGGCACTCCTGGGTCTTTACATGCTCCCACGATGCACGTAGGTCCCTGAGGCCTGATGCAAAGCCAACTGGGGGTGGGGGTGGGGGTGGGGGAAGCAGGGCCCTCAAGACTTCCTTGTCACCCCTCAATAGACTCCAAAGTTTGGTGAGTATGTATTTATATTTTTACAGTAAAATAGGGAGAATATATATAAAATTCTCTGGAATCATTTTTATTGCCTTTTCTTCTCAACAACCCTATTGGGCAGGACCAAATCAGGATCCCTCATTTTCAGTAGGTCTGGATCATTAAATAGGAGTGGAGTAGATGCTGCGAGAGGCTCTCCTAGTTTCTCGTTTATTCTTTCTTTGATTTCTATTTTATTCTACTGACCATGAAATTTCGACATGTTGGATACAATAGTGGTTATACATCACCTGGCTTGGAAATGTGTGTATTTAAATTGGACACCTTATTTCCAGGATTACGAAATCTCTTTGTTTGGAAGGGAGGAAAAAAAAGTTCACTGCAAGGCCTAATGCAATTAGGCAGAAACAATCGCTATGCCTTTTGCCCAGTAGAAATTCCCAGGCTGTTACTTCTGAGAGCTTGTTCCTGGAACCCCCTGGAGTCCTTTGTGGGAATGGGGTTGGCAGGTCCCTGTTAAGTGAGTCTAGGAGTGGTCTTACAGCCTGGTGCAGCTTCCTCCTTTGACCAAGGGTGCTGGGCTCTGCCCAGGATGAGCCAGCCATGTCCTGAGCCTGAAGAAACCTGATGTTGCAGTCCAGTAACATCGGCCAGGTTGCAGCAAGACCTTTGACTGGCTGACTCCTTCCCTCCTGTGGTCCTTCACCTCCTCTACACCCACACTGTGGTTGAAGCGCTCACATTACTTGCCCGGATAACACAGTGACCTCCAACTGTCCTGCCTCCTCTTCCCCTTACCTCTAGTGTGTTTTTTCACAGAAGCCAGTGTATATGGGTGTCCTATTGTTGCTGTAACAAATCAAGGCTTTTCCAACTTCTGGAGGCTTCCTGCATTCCTTGGCTTACGGCTGCTTCCTCATCTTTTAAACCAACCAGCCTCTCACATGGCCTCGCTCCTCTTCTGTAATCACATCTCCCTTTGCCTCCCTCGTATAAAGACCCTTGTGATGACCTTGGCCCAACTGGACCCTCCAGGATAATCCACCCATTTCAAGATCTTTGACTTAATCATGTCTGCCAAGTCCCTTTGTAAAGGAACTTTACAAAGTTCACAGCTGCAGGGATTCAGACATCAACATCTTTGGTGGGGCCGCTATTCAGCCAACCTCACAGTGTAATCTATTAAAAAAAATGCACATCTAGCCACATTAATCCTCTGCCAGGCCCCTTGTGTGGTGCTTCAGTCCTCAGGACCTCTCGTGGCTGGGAGTGCCATGCCAGAGCTGCCCAGCCCTGTCCACCTGCCCCCAGCTTCATCTCTTCCCATCCCACCTCTGGCTTGCTGTTCACGATCCAGCCTTTGCACATGGTGTGCTGTTTGCCAAGGATGCTTCTCCCCACACTTAATCCCAGGCATTCCTGAAGCTTCAGACAAGGTCAGGCCTCCCTTGGGTCCTCTCCTAGGGATCTGTGCCATTCTGCTATCACTCTTACCACAGGTTAACAGCTTTTCATTTAGTGAGGTGATCATGTGATTCATATGTGCTCCTATGTGATAAGTACTCCACGCGAGCAGGGACCATGTCTGTTTTTTGCCCATCACTGCATCTCAGCATAGTGTTTGGCTGTGGGAACAAATGGATAATTGAATGAATGTCAGCAGTTTCATCTTCAGTCTCTGTCCCCTTTATCATGCTTCGCCGTCCGCATCTGTGACCTCGTCTACTGTCACCTCCCTCCATCCCATGGGAGCAGGGATTTGTGTTTGGGTTCACACCTTGATTCCCAGGTCCTACAGTGTGTCTGGTCCATGACAGGCACTTGGCAAATATTTAGGGAATAACTAATCTGCGTGATGCTCAGAATCTCTCACGGTTTTCATATCTGAACCCTCTTTGAAATCGGGTATTATCAAGTTCTTCATTTTAATCATCCAACCTAACGCAATAATCAGGCAAAGTGGCAGACATCTTCTCATCTAAAATACTCAGCTGTTTTTGTGAGGATTCAGTGAGTTAATAAATGCAAACCATTTACAGCAATGTCTGGCACATGGTGATGAGCCCTGTGTAAGAGTTTGCCGTTGTTGTTAAGAACTACTTGAGCCCTTGATAGTTTAGAATGTTTACTGTGTCTGTAGCAGCTCTGTGCTGGGATCCCAAACACAGAAACGAGTGACTTCTCCTGGCTCTTAAACCAGGATGGGACTCAGGTCTTGCAACTGCTTGAGGAAGCCCGAGGCAGGGGCTTCAGGTGGGAGCTTTGAGCCATAACTTGTGCTTTTTCTTGTTTTGCCTGCAGAGGGCAGCACGCCCTGGACTTCTCTGCGCTGAAGGCAGAGCTGGGGCTGGTCAGCAGGAAAACAAGAAAATGGACTCCCTTCTCCTGGAGACATGAATGCCAGCCACTAGCCAAGGGTGAGTTTAGAGCTTGACCAGAGTTTTCCTCTTATTTTGTCCACTTTGTTTGGTGTGTTTTTTTAAATGTAGGGTACATTAAATGTTGGTGTAAATCACACATGTTGGATTTTGAGGTAGTTTGTTGATTTTCAGTTTGTTTACAAAAACAACAATAGCAGTGGAACTAATGCTAGAAATTTGCAGAGGGGATGAGGGGCTGGAGGTCATCCTCCATACTGTGAGTGTGGTGTCCCTTCCGGTCTGCACCTTGGGCCCCTCCCCTTCGTCATTCAGGGAGGCGGTACCCTCCCAGAACAGTTCCCTTCAGTTCAACAAATGTGTGGTCAGCGGGGAGTGTGAGGTGTTCTTTGCAGGGACCTTGTGGTCCTTCTTATAGCTGTTTGAAATGTAAAGGGACAGTTTTTTTGTGTGTGTAAATGTGGAATTGCATTAAAAAGATTAACAATCAACTATGAAGTTAAAAGAAAAATAAATTATATCTAATTCTTCATATCACTTAACTTTGCTCAGCTTTGTCTTTTACAATCTTGTTTTTAAAAAGCATAAGAAAGAAATATTTGCTGGTTCTGAGGTCTCATTTGAAATAATGTGGAATTAGTTTGCGTGGAGGATTGTGCAAGGACTTTTTTCCAGATGTATCTAGCAGGTGGGCGGGGGAAGTGGAGGCGTGGAGGGGGAACAAGGCAGGAGGAGAGTCTGGGTCATGTGGGACACCCATCTGCTGTTGGTTCGGCTTCCCCTGTCCCACCCTGGTGGCCACAGGGCACGGGCAGTTCTGGTGGGCTGTTGCTTGCCATCTGGGTTCTGTGCCTCCCAGCTCAGCTGCACTCTGCGTCTGACTCACAAAGCTGTGGTGTGGGGCTTTGGTTTTTAGTAAAAGCAGGTGTGGAAGGACAGATCGGTCCCTGAGGGACTCTAAAAACATTTCCGGGCTGTTTGTTGTGTTTTTTTTTTCTTAAACACAAGTTAACAGTTTTCAGTTTAACTGTGCGTTCCTTCCTGAAATCTTTACATGAGGCTAGTCCTTGTGATTTATTTTATGCCTCGTTTTTTGGGGCATTGCTCTTCTTGTCAAGTCTGGGTCAGAGACTGAGATGCTTTTTTTTCCCACACAGATCAAGCATGTAGAAATAGGAGTGATTTGAATGTGTCTCCAATTTAATTTATTTCTGTATCTTTCATTTCCTTCTCTTGGGGAACGGAGGGGATATTTGGGGCATATTAACTTCAAGTGAGTCAGTCAGCAGGAATTCTTGTGTATTATTTAGTGCCTGGTGGGTGGAAACATCCGCAGAAAAGAGACAGTTGCCCTCAAGGGTCGCATGTTCTGGTGGGAGAGGCAGAATATGGTTTCTAGGTGGACACTGGAAATATCAGAGGAAACACGATGTCAAGTATATGATTGTTTAACCACTATGCTGTACACCTGAAACTAATACAAAATAATATTGAATGTAAACTATAATTTAAAAATAATTTAAAAAGAAATCTAAATTTAGAAAAAACTCAGTTTCTTCCTATTAACACGCAGTATGTGCAGCACGGATGCCGGTTGTGGTGCCCAGAAAGCCCGTGTGGGAGCTGTCAGGCTGCTCCGAGGTTTTCGTACACGCAGGTGGGAGAAAAGAAGTTGCCTATGGTCCAGGTGCACCCATGGGAGGGGGCAGGAACATGGGGAGGAGTCCAGATGGATCACACAGAGTAGGTTGGGTTGACCCGATTTTGGTGGTGGTAGAATTTGACTATCAAGCCAAAAAATTTGACTTAAATATCATCACAAATGGAAGTAAAGACTGTTGAACAGGCCAAGCTTCCTGTTTAAAGTAGGGACTTATATCTCCAGTTCACACCTGACAAAAGCAGTGCTTTTATATTATCTTTTCAAATAATTCTCCAAGGTCACACGGCTGGTGGAGGTTGGATCTGCCAGACGCCTGAGTCCACACACGCTCGGCCTGTGTTATCTGCAGAGCACAGGTTGCTGTTGGGATTACCAAGGTTTCACCCAGCTCTGCCCTTGTGTGACCCTGAGAGTCTGTACATGACTGCTTGTGTGTCAGCGTCACTCCCTGGGCTGAACTGGTCAGGGGGAGAAGGGAGACTTTGGGTAAGTCACGGTCTAGCCTGTCTGAGTCCTGAGAAAGCAGGGCAGGAACCCAGCCAGGCCTCCGTGTCTGCACAGCAGCAGTCCAGACAAGCCCCAGAGCTGTAGAGGCTATCAGGAGCTCAGGTCTGCCTCCAAAGTGGAAGCCGCAGGGCTGATTGCAGTCCGGGCAGGGTGACAGGCAGCTGCAGCCCCGCACAAGCTGGCTCTTGTTGCTGCCCTGATCTCCAGGCGCAGGCAGGGGGATGTGAGCGCTTGGTTTGTGCTGAAGTTTTCCAGTCATTCCTTTGTTCATTCCTTCCTAGAGGATTCAGCAAAGAGTTAAGCACCTAAAATGTACCAGGCACCGCTCTGGGCTACAGGCTTGCAGCGAAAACAAAGCCCAAGCCCCTGCCTTCACGGAGCTTGCGGTCCCATCTGGGAGGCAGACAATGCTTAGCACAGTGTCAGGGAGCAGTGGGTGCTCTGAGGAAGAGTGAAGCAGGGAGAGGGCACAGAGTGACAGGGGTGTCCAGGACGACTTCTCTAAGGGGCTGTTTGAACAGAACCCTGGTGAAGCCGGGGAGCAGGCCATGTGAATGTCTGTGTTCCAGGCAGAGGGAACAGCGGGTTCACGGCCCTGAGATGGGATTGTGTGGGGAGCAACCAGGAGACCAGTGGGAAGCCGCCCAGGAGGAGAGTGGGAGGAGCAGAGGCCACAGGGGGAGGAGAGGTTGGCTACCCAGCCTTGCAGGCCACCGTAGGAAGATAGGATTGTGTTCTTGCCCAACTCTAAGGTGTGTTTGAGGCGTGTCCCTGGCTGCTTGGCCTCTCTTCTGCAGCCCTCCCACAGGGCCTTTTGATCTAGCCAACATCCTTCTAAACACACAGCCTCTTTTCGGGTGATATAGTTGCCTCGAGTTCTGTGGCTGCGACCATGAGCCCTCTTCCATGCAGAGCTTTGCGGGGTGGGGAGGAGGACCAACTGCATTAAGAACTGAATGTTGACCAGCTTGATAGTGAAATACAATTTGTGTTTAAGGTTAGAAAAATATACTTGGATATTATCCTAAAATGCTTAAATGTTGGTGGGAGGTGCTCCACCTTGACACAATGGGCCTTTTATCATCACTGCCCTACCCCCCAGGAGCCAGGACGCCCAATCTTCTCCCTCCTCCCCGCCAGCTGAAGGCCTGCGCTGACCTTTCTGGTCTCACCTGTAGAGTGGGGCTAGCCGGGCACTCCCGCCCAACGGGAGGGGGGAAGAAAAGATACGACTTACTGTGGGTCTTTCTCATCTTGAAGGTCTCTGATTCTGTGGAAGATTCTACAGAATGCTCTTAAGGGAATTAGGAATATTCCCTAAATCATGTCCAGGGGTTTGTGGTTTACATTTATATTATGCAACTCCCCCCACCCCCTTTTTTTGCTTTCAAAACACCTTTACATCTGTCCTTGATCTCTATAAAGTAACTTTGTATGTCACAGTGGTTAAAAGCCTGGGAAAACCAAAGCCGGTCCACCTTCACTCGCTGTGTGGCGGGGCATGTTCCCCGACTTCCCTGCTCCTCCAGGTTCCTTGTCTGAAAATGGGAATGAATGAAATCAGTACTTACCTCAAAGGCCACTCCGAGGGTGAATGTGCTGATGTATCCAGCCCAGGGCCTGGCCCAGAGTAAAACCTCAGTGAATGTTGACCACAATGATGATTACATGTAATTATTCCCCTTTGACAGGAAGAGAAACCGAGACCAGGGAGGTTAAGTGACTTGCTTAAGGTCATGTGCAGATTTAGAAGAAAAGCCAGAAATAGAAGACTCAGCTCAAGGGGTTCTAGGCCAGTGTTGTCTCCCTGGAATTTATTTTGGTCTCCAGAAAAAAATGTTAATATACACAGACAGTTCTAGCTGAGTTGAACCCTTTGACAGCTGGTTTTGGCTTTTGTAAGGGGTTGGTGGACAGGGTTTCCTCAGCACATAGGACCCTTCATCCAAGGCATGAAGAGCTCCCTAGGGAGGGGCATCTGTGGGAACAGAGGACAGTGAGCCTCCTTCTTCGGTTTTGAGAGGCAGAGAGGTTGGGGGTGGTATGTTTCCAGTAGTCCTCACCTTTGCTGGGTGCTGTTCAGACCCTACAGACCCCTGTCCTTCCCTCTCACCCCTACCAGGGGGCATCGCAAAGACCATACCTGGAGTGGGGAGGAGGCTGGGACAGGCTTGCAGGAGACAGGCGGACACCCTAGAACTCGATCCCTGCGAAGAGCTGGGCCCTCACCCCTGTGGCAGGACTCTGCGGCTCAGACCTGGAACTGGGGTGTGGGCAGCACCTCCCTAAGGCCCTTTGGGAAAAGAGACCTAACTTCTGCCCTGTCGGACAGGGACAGCAGATACCTTTTCCAGATGCCTTGGTCACCCTGTCACCTGAGAATTGTTCCCACTTAGATACACAGTGGTGCCCCTGCTCCTGGCAAATTAGACTTAAGGACTACCCAGTAGGTTTTCCCAGGAAATGGAATTTTGCTGCAGGTAGGATGGCTCAGTGAAGTCCACAGTAAGACCTGGGTATGAATCCCAGCTCTGCCTCTTTGTGTGTAGGTACATGAGTGGGGGTGTGCTTGAGAAATTATTCAGCTTCTTCAACTCTCAGTTTTTACATCTGTAAAATGGGAACAAAAATACCTACCTCACAGACTTGCAGCCTGAATTAAATAAAATAACCTGTGTGACTGCTTAGCACGTGCCTGGCCCATGATAGCTATTTTTATCTTCCTTGTCATTATTACTGAGCAGATCAGTGGGTTCCATAGTGTGTGGGTGGAAACAGCCTTCAGTTCGTCGGCCCTGTCGCGGGAGCCTGCACTGACAGAGCCGAAGAGCTCGGCCGCCTTGCTTTGTTGTTGTGTGTAGTCATTTCT